GAAAAGAGGACTTGTATTCCCAGCTGATCCCAAAGTTGAGCAGGGAGGGCACTTGGGTCCCCAGCAGTCAGCACCAACCTGATCCTCTTCCAAGGACATTTGTGGGGACAAAAAGAGATCATAGATTTATTAGAAGTTTCCCAACTTTGTAGCCAGCCTTCAGTGTGTGCACAACCCAAGAATGCCTGGAAACACATGGACTCCTCTAACAGCACCCCACATAGCATGGCACCAAACCACCGTGCAGGCAACCAGCAGCTGGCCTGAGCACAAGGCAGCTCACAGACACAGCCAAAACCCAAGGCACTGGTTTCTGCCAGGTGACAGGGTGACACCCAGCGAGCTTCTCATCCTAAAATAACGCCCTAGGAGCTAGGAACCGCCACAGCTGTAAGAGCATATTGCCCCAAAGGGATATTGGCATTCTGAGCACCAGACTTCATTTATTGCTGAAGTACCATTTAACATCACAAAAGAAGTGCACTAATGACTCTCCAAGTACCTTATGTCTGTTAAAACCAGCCTTCCTGCCCTGCTGTACAGCAGCTCCTTTTTTTTTTTTTTAACCCCATTCTGAATTATAAGGCTTTTCCAGTCCAGAGTCTGATTCAAGTGCCAAAATAAAAACTACTCAAAGGGCAAAAAACTTACCATGAGATAGTAAAGATCAAGAAGAGTTTATTTTCCTATTTATTATACTTATTTAAAGCATGAAGACAACTTAACACTTGGCAGACAGATTCCTCCCACTTAAACATTACAGTGTCAAGGTAAAGCATCTGTTGGCTTGCTTACCACTGGATAATGAGGAACATTTCTGATGTACTAATGAGCCCAAATCAACTCTAGAGTCTGTAAGAAATGGATGGTATTGTTTAAAGACAATCAGCCACATGACAGACCCCACGGGACCTCAGAAGCTGCACTGTCGTGTGCAGCTAGGTGAACTTCTGTTTCTGTTTGCAGCACTCGGCAGTTCCAACACTTCATCAAGAAGTTCTGCTGATTTTTCACTGTGGCTGGAATAGCAAAAGCACGGCTGTTTTCCATGTCTCACGGCAAACTCCAGATCTCCAGAACTGCTCTGGCTTGCAGCACGTGCTGGTAAATGGAAACCAAGGCAGCAGCCAGGCTGTTTTATTCCAGGACAGAAGAATTTTGCAGTGAATACAGATGTTATTTCCCAAAGATAGTTAGTTGGCTCATAAATTTACTGCATCTCTACATCCTTTCTTTAAGCCAAAATTTGTGGGAGAAAAAAAATAGCACAATTGTTGCTCCATTGTTAAAAAAAAACAATGGTTCTAGGACTCCGTTATTATCAGTGCATGAATCAGGAACAGGGATTTCTGCAGCCACACCTGAACAGAGCCAGGGTCCGTCAGCTGCTATAAAAATAGCCCATCTCTTATATCATCACCTCCTGGCCACTGCAAGCACTGCTCAACAGCTGCATCACCAACCACTGTATCAGCAGAAACCTGTGTCTGTTGCATTGGTACACATCTGCATAACTCAGAGGTCTGTCTACAGGAGATGACAGCATAGAGTTTCCTCTGTATTTTGAGGTGTATTTTGAGGTGTCAGCAGATAGCCAGACCTGCTAAAAACAACAACAACAAGAAAGTAGGGGCAGCAGGGGGGGAAATAGGAGAAATAGCCTTTTGAAATTGGGGCAGAGTAACTGACTGCAGTGAGAATTTGTGCTTCAAGAAGACTGTCCAGAACTTGGGGTGTTATTTTGGGAAATATATTGCAGTAAAGTGCCATATAATCAAGAATAAGGTGAATAAGGTGCACCAAAACCACCCAAGGCTGAGCCATGTGCTGCAGAAGCCACGAAGAGATTTATCCTTGGTTTAACAGGGACCTTAACTGGATCCCAATGATGTGAAACTCCAAAGGGCTCAGCTCCTCCTGAAGGGAAACAAAAAAAAAACCTAGAGGATCAAACAAAAGCTGGTCTGGGGGAACAGCCAGGGAATGAACAGGTCCAAAAGCACTTGGACCTCAACAGGGAGAGCAGCTGAGTAAACCTGGTACCAAAGGCAGGTTTGGGCAGAAGGCAGCAAGGGTCCACTCCTCCCCTATGTAGCCCCCAAATTAGCACCAGCCCTAAGCCATGAGTTGCTCAAAGCAGGAGGTGCTGCCCCTCAGCCCAGCAGGGGTTTTGACCCACTGCACAACACTGGGGCCCAGAAATCCCATCAGGAGAAGGTGGTGAGTTGAGTACCATCAGGACAGAGGGACACATTAAGACTGCGGCTTGAAAAGCAGTAACTTTGAAAAGATGACAGACTACTGATGGGTTTTGGATGAACCACACAGGGGATCCTTCTGCTCCATGCACTGCAGCAATCCCTACACCCCTACCTCCCACAGTCCTCCGTGGGAGTCAAGAAAATATGAAATGTACACTATCTTTATGAGGTGACCTTGTCACATACACAGCTTCGAACAAGCAATGTAATGGCATCTATTAGACGCAGTCCAGATCCTCTGTAAACTTATCACACATTTGATTTACTGCCTGCAAGTAGAGGTCTACAACAAAATGCAGAGCCAAGGCAAACGTGCCCAGGCACAGGTCCTGCTGCCAAGCTAAAACCGAGGCCAGGCTCTGCAAAGATAAGATTAATAACAGGCAGAGCACCAAGTAAACCCAGTGCAAACTATAATGCAAATCAGCATTTCACACTCAAACAAAGCAGACCTTGGAGGTTTGGCTTAAATTTCCGTGGCCAGAACCTTTCCATCGCTGACTGCTCTGGATGCTCCCAGGAGCTCCAAGGCTCTGCTAGCAGATATCTCTGCTCCTGCCTGGCGGGTCCATGAGGTGGCATTTCTCCAGGGAAATTTGCACAGCTGGTTTGCAAGGTACTGTGCAAATGGCCAGTCTGTCACTGGAAGCTCCCAGGCCATCTCAATATCTCAGCTGCTTCTTACTTTCCTTCAAACCCTCTCCCCTCAGATGTTTCTGCCCCCAGGAGAGCCTTCTGGCAGCACACTCCCATACTGCCCGTTTCTGACATGTCTGGAACAAAAGGAGCCACCAACCTCCAACAGAGCAGACAACTCCCTTTTTGTCAGCTAAAGCTTTCCTAGCAAGGATCACACACTGACTGCTCCTAGGGCTCCAAAAAGCTGGAGGGGAAATGCTAAAAGACACCCTAGGATTCTCCTTCTCCTTACTCACTTGTCAGGATATGCATCCCAGATGCTGAAACATCCCCTCTGCCATCAGCTCCAATGCAACCTTTTACACCAAGGAACAGCTTTTCAGAAAATAACCCCGGAAATGAAATCCTGCTAGCTGCCCTCAGCTCAGAGATTTGCCTGCTGAAATCCTGCCTTCCTTCTGGGAGCTCCTTTGCTCACACAGGAGCAGGAAGGCACTTGCATGTTTTAGGGAGAGGAAGGGGCTCTGTGCTCCTGGAGTGCATCAAAACCCCAAGCCCCTCACAACTCCTGTGGCAGCACTCCTCCTCCCCACCATGCAAACAAATGGTGCCAGGCTGCAAGCCAGGTTGATAAAATGGGATTAGGAGAAATTTAGAGGAATATTTTCCTTCTGATTTCACAGCAGAGGCAGGATCAGCCACTGTTTCAGGATCCAAGTGCAGCCCAGCCCACTCCTGCCTACTAGAGGCAAAGCAGCCTGCAAAAGTGTACCCCAACACCACTGCACATGGGACCACTGTAACTAAAAGGAGAAAAGCAAAAATTAGTAATTAATCTTTAAGTCTGCTTTTCAAGCATCTCTCGTTTGTACCAATTAGCCACATTGCTGCACTTGGGAGCATTAGAAACCTTTTTATTATTTATCTTTTCATCTTTCTGTCTATCGTTCCTTTAAAGTTTTCAACTGGTATGATCTTTACTGCCCCGTTCTTTGTTCAGATTACAATAATTTGTCATTTGTGTGCAGACAGTTTCTTAACTGCTCCTGTGTTGGAAATAACCTTCACAAAAATATTGGTTCTTTCATCTCCAGGGTCCCGCAAAGCACACAACTATTGAGTGGCGAGGCATTAAGAATCCAAGGAGACCCCATAAGGCAAGGCATTAAACGCAAGCTCTCTTGCTATGGAAATGGAGGGATTGCACAGTACAATTGCTCAAATCTAGCCTGCATTAGGAGTAAAACCTTGCTTGAAAAAGGTTCATGGCACCAATGTTGCTTTATCATCTGTAGCCTTAATTTTGGTGGCTGGAAAAGTACTATTTTTTATTATTATGTTTTTATGGGCAGTTTGGGCATATTCACTCATCCTTTTACCTTTTTTTCCCCCCATAGCACAGTCATTCATGGAGTAATATGCTTCAAGGCCAGACCAGTACAATCAGGGTGATGTAGCTTTAGTCGCTGTGTAACAGAGGGTAATGAGAGCACACCAGAAAGCCCTATCAAACCTACTGGCACTACGTAGTGAATCCCAAGAGTCCCCAAAAAATAATTGGGGGAACTCTGCACCTGGAATTTTAATGTCTAGCTTCCCAGGACTTTGAGAAGTCCTACGGGATCACATCAGAGCATGTAATTCCAACACTTGAAAGGGTAAAACGAGCGACCTGCAGAACTATAGCACAATTAGCCCTGATACCAGCACAGTGGAATAGCACATTAAAGACTACCAGGGATTTACAGGCCAACGCACAAAGACTGCGAGTCACCACAAACCCTGCTTTTGGTGGAGCTGTCAAATCATTTTTTTTTTTCTACAAGGCTATAGGCTGGCTAGATAAGCCAGCTCTGCTAAGAAAGCACACTTGGATTTCTCCAAGGCGTTCAGTTCAGCATCATGCGATGGCTTTATGAAAAATATAAATCATATGCAGTAAGTATTACTACACACACACTGCATTACAAGCTGCCTGGCACATTTTAAATGTAGTTGTCACAGGAAGATATTTGGGGTCAGTGCACCTTATAATTAGGAGGCTCCTCCGGGGACCTGCTCTTGGGATGAAGTCGTTACCCCCCCCCCCCCCGCCACACACACTGGAGTTGCAGATGTGGAAAACAAGAGTTATTCACAGAGGAAATCCTTCCTTTCTCACTAACCCAGCACTGAATACATTCGTCACAGCTTCTTTTTCCATTGTGGGCACTAGTCCTCCAAGGAGGGCAGAGGCTGTTCCTTTACAAGCAAAGCCCAGGACTGGTGTGTGCACTGGCTCTAGATGCACGCAGCAGCCCTTGACGATGAAGATCTCCCCAGCTACAACCCAAATACCCACCCATCGGGGATCCCACTCCCTTGTGCCCAGGAGAAGTCAGGGGTTCAGTTAAACTGGTTCTCACAGGAGGCTTGAAATGCCCATGACTGAAACTCTGCAAGAATCAATTACACAAACATCCCTCAGGATGACACAGAGCTGATCCTGCATGCATTAGGGGCTGGACAAGATTACCAGTTCCTTATCATCTCTTTAAGCTCCACTTTCTACAGTTCTTTTGACATGTCAATCTTGGGTCCGTTTTCAAAACAAAACAAAGCTCATATCTTTATACATGCACAGCAAACAGAAGTGCAAGCAGTTACATATATAAATGCTGCCCTGCAGATCCTGGATGTCCTCCCCTAGGGATGCAGCAGGACTGGCAGATATCATGCACTGTCACACGTGTCAACACCTGCCCTTACCTACAGCTGACTGAAGGCACTATGCTGTCGCCAGGGCCGTTTGTAGCTAACACCACTTTGCTCAGTTTCTCCTCAGCACACCCCAAGTTTAACTCCTGAATCTGTCAGATTTCCTGCATTACCTCAGCCCATTTCCCATCCACAACACAGCTCCACACTTGAACAGGAGACACCAGCACCCTGTGAGACCAGCTGATGGGCACGTTGCAGCACAGCAAAGAGTTAAGATTTCCCATATTTCATCCTTCAGCGCATGTCGTGCTCTGCTGTCATCACTGATCCCTGGAGTTCTTCTTTAAATCACATACAGCGAGAAAACACCCCTGGAGAGCAACAGGTTCATCTCAGGACTCAAGTACCATCGTCATTTACCCCCCTGGTTCAGCGTGATGTACACAGGCAGGCTCAGATGGAGTTTTTCCCTATTGATGGGGCATGCCCTGACCCCTGGCTCCTTCTCAAGGGAAATGACAAACCACCTCAGAGGTACAGCCCCACTTGCCCCAGCTACTGAAAGCAGCAGATACCAAGTGCAATGGAAGCAGAGGACAGCAGAGAGCACGTCTACCATCACCATGGTGCTCCCGAGGGCACGGTACCAAGGCTTGATAATTTTGATCCCACAGAATGCTCCCTTCTTCCAAAACATCCCAAAACAGGGTGGGTAAAAATGTCCCCTCTGGGGTGAGCCTGCTTGCTCCCTACTGTCAAGCCCAGGGGAAGATGGATGGCACTTGGAAGTCACTGGTCAGAGAAGGAAGAGGGTCAGAGCACAAAGGCCATCTGTCGCCATGCGGGGACACCAGCTGAACAAGGGGGGGAGCGAGCCCTGAGCACCAGGACCGTGCTGGGAGCCCCCGGGGAGCTGTAGCCTTCATCAATCAAACCGGGCAGAGCAGGGACACTCCAGCATCTGTCACAACCCCCAGCAAGGCAGTGGCAGGCCCCAAATACACGCAAAGCACCACAGCAAAGGGATTTTTCCCTCAAATCATGTGCAAGAGCCATTTTTCCTACCACTACTTTGAGATGTGTATGTGCCACGTACTGCAAAGAGCCTCTGGTTACAAGCCCCTAGGAGGGATTGCTAAGCCCTGCTGGCTGCTTCAGCTTTTTGGGCAGCCCGCATGAGTTACGTGACTCAAATCCTGGGCAGCACAGAGGAGATTTTGTGGCGTAAATACAGGCAGCCACAGCCATCCCAGGCTTCAGCTGCGTTACATATAACCAAGGAGGAATGCGGGCAGCCCTGTCCGTGCACGCCTCAGGAATTATTTTAAACATGTTCGGGGGATTTAGAGCCAGCGTTTATGAAATAGTTGAGGCGTGTGGTAAGAAGTGTAGCAATTAAAATGCTGATGAATAACAGGTTAGGTCCGCAATGCTGGCTGGGGGGCTGTCAGCAGAGGTGCAGAGCGATCACCTCGGTGTGACCTCAGCGGCCAGAGGGCACCGCGAGGCCCCAGGAGGGCTGCACATCCCCATCCCTCCTGTGTTCAGCATCACCACGGGGTCAGGCTCTGGCTGCCTGCACCAGCATCAGGTAGGCTTACTGCAGAGCCCTCTCTTCTGTGTCCTTCTGGAGACAGCCACAGGGTGCAGAGGGCCCACAGCCAAACACGAGGCACATAACCCCCAGCAGAACCAGAAGGAAGCCGATGGTTTCCATCAGGTTTTCTCCTACCTACTTGGAGCTGGCAGTAGGAAAAGCGACCTGCTGCTCTCGCTGTTAAAGAACCATTAAGGTTGGAAAAACCTTCAAGATCATCTGGTCCTACCATCCCCCTACTACCAATGTCACCCACTAAACCATGTCCCCAAGCTCCACTTCCAACCTTTCCTTGAACATCCCGGGAATGGTGACTCCACCACCTCCCTGGGCAACCCATCCCAGTGCCTGTTTTTCCCATGGGCTCCATTTCACCTCCCCTCCACCCCTCAGCGAGCCCCATTTTTGGCAGATCTGCATTGCTCTGCGCAGAGCCCTCGTGGCAATCCATCAGCCAATTTGTCACAGCTCTTCCCAGTGACACCACGGCCAGCCTGCTGCACCAGGACAGAGCTGTCCTCGCCTCTCCCACACCACAGGAGGGACACGTATCTCGAGCACAAAGGACGACACATCCTAGAAGCAGAGCATTTCCTGGCAGCTCATACCAGGAGGCTTTTTGCAGAACACCGCACGTACACATTCATCCCAAAGCAGTGGTTGGCACAAAGGACCCCAGGGAGGACTCCAAACAGAAGAGGTACCTAACATGCTTCAACTGCTAGTGGGAACCAGCCCCCAAGACCAGACTAGAAACATCCCGAGATAAAAAGCCCTAAGAGGTTCACAACACGAACATCAGCTCCTCAGTACAGTTCCTTCCCCTAGGTTGCTCCTAGCACAGCACATTTCTCAAGAAACTTTGACTTGTGGGGCACAGCCACAGGACACAAGGAAGGAGAAGCCTGCTTACCTCTGCCAGCTGGGACCCTGTGCCCATGCCTGGAGGGCTTCCAGAAGAATCCCCTGCTACTGTCCACGATGGCTCATTTCCAATGCTGGAGAAGTTTTCCAAGTGCATAAGCTCCTGATGAAATAAGGGGTTTCTAATCAATAACCATGTTGGAAGACCCTCAGATTTTTCTTCGTGATACAACCCTTCTGCAAACATGCACTGGAGATGTTTTTCCTTCGCATTTCACGGTTTGGTTTGTCAATACAACATATTAATTTATAACATAAAAAAATAAGAACTGCTAGAAACTTTTATTATCCCCACTAACATTTCACACATTAGAACTTGCCAGCATCCTTCATTATCACAGCCTGGGTTGCAAATAATGGCTCTAGATCAGTACATTATCCTATCTTCAGTTAATGTAGGATTTAATCCACACGCTCTTTTTTAATAACATTTCCCACAGCAACATTCCCATTGACAAATGGAAGCTGACACCTCACTTTTATTCCAATTCAAACTAAAAGATTGACTTCAGTTTTATTTTAAAAACTTACTGATATTTAAGGACAATTTGATTGCCTTCACAGGCACTGGGGCATTATGAACCACAGCATTTTTTTCCACCACACAGACACTAATAGAAGGAAGTTTAAAATTTGGTGGGGGCGGGGGGGGGGGGGGGAAGGGGTTTATTCTTTCAGCAGTAGACCTCTTCTTACACAGCCTGGTATTAAACATCAAGTACTAACCCCATACATCCCCATACCTTATTTCCCTGTAACCCCATACATCCCCATACCCCATGTCCCTGTAAGGAGCGCTCAGCCAGCCAGGTGGTCAGCTTAACAGAAAAGCAGCACCTGGGGCTCTACCACCACCCCCAAACACTCCCAGCTCTCATGCAAAGGGAAAAGGACCTCCCAAATCAAATAACCAGCCAGACAAGCCCTTTAGAGCAGGCTGCCTCTCTAAGCTCGTGGATTGCTTTCCCCCTTCCCATCCCCATGCAAGCTCCCAATGCAAACATGCCTCTGGGGGTGCTCAGCCCTCTGCCAGCGCCACCCACGGCCACTTTCAGCAGCTTTCTCTGCCACAAGACACCTTCCTCCACCCCCCAAACCCCCCAGCTGTGAAGCTGCTTCCTGCTGCATCTCCCCCCAGCCCTTGCACCAGGTGGAGCCAGGCAGGAGCCCTTAAAGAGCCTGCAGCCCCTCTGCTGGGCCAGGGGGTGTTTTGGGCCAGGACAAGCCAGCAATACCTGCAGCACCCCTGCGTTTTCTGCTTGGCTCCTTTGCAAAAAAAAAAAAAGTGGGAAGTCAGCACTGCCTTAGGCAGGACAGGCATTATGGAGCTTCTTGCCCTGGCCACTGCATTTTGCATTCCTGTTTTTCCTTGCTGTGTTTGCTTTGTGAAGGTTTAGCGTGCCACATGCAACATTGCACATTTTTCTACCTCTAGAAGTAAAGAATGATTATTTTTGGTTCCACAAATCCTGGTGTTTTAGCCCTATAAGCTGTCAGCTGAATCCCTAATGTGGCCACCATCTTACCCCTCCCCTGAGTCAGGGTTGTTGAATTTCTCTCCAGAGGAGGCTGCTCCAAGCTGCTGGGAATGGGGCCCAGCACTGGAACAGGCTTCAGCTGCACAGCTGAGATTCAAAGCCTGGAGAGACAGAAACCCCAGGGATTGCTATCCGCGGGTTCACTTCAGGCCATCAATAACCCTTAGTGATGTTCCCTGGAGAAGAGGAGCCCCTGCACCTAACAAAATGATGGGCTGAAATTACATAATCAGCATCTCCCCTCAGTACAAAGGGAAACAGCCAGCACGTTTCCATGTTGCTATTTTTTCCCCCTTATTACAAAGATGGAGTTGTAAAGAGCAAGGCTGGTGCTCTTGAAACCAACGGGTCTGCTTTGCAAGGCTTATTTCAACCTCCTCACTCCCTGATTCCCACATGGCAAAGAGGCATTACAGTCAAAATGAAGTAATCCTTTGATAAAGTGCAGTCATTTATTTGAAAAGTGTAGTCTCGCCATTAAAATGCAAATGAAATGAGTGCTAATATATTAACTTGGGATAGGAGTTGAAATGGCTTATGACAAGTGCGCTTTCATGTGGAATAGAGTTAAGTGATAGCAGTGGGTGTGTAAGAGAAAGCAATATTCAGATGTACGTGTTTGTTTATTGAAGATATTAATGAAGGACGGTGCCTAAAGAGTGTTATTATTCCCTCAGCTTGTCTTTCTTTCGTCCCTCCCTGGTTCAAGTCTACTACTGAGAGGTTCCTCCCAAGGGGGGGTTGATCAAAAGTCATCTTTGATGGATGATCTGAGTCCACACAAAAGTCTACACAAAAGCTGAAATGTATTTAATGATCCCCTTTGAAGAGGAGCAGAAGGTCCCCCCCAACAGATATCCATATCCCACGTGCTGCAGTTGGCATCAGAGCTTTACAGTGATTGAGAAAAGAAAGGAAAATCTTGAGCCATTCTACTCATTTTCCAAAGATATCTCTTGGGAGTGTGGCAAGCATCAGGGGGGCTCTGGGGCTTCTCTCTTCTTTTCTGCACCCACTGCTTCCCCTTTGCACGCTGATGACCTTGGGATCCTCCCCAGCACTGGCCCCTTTTGTCTTGATGCAAGTCCCCAGAAGCAGGCAGGGTGTGTTCTTTGAATTACCCTTCAACATTGGGTGCCTCCAGCTTTTGCTGCAATTCCTTGTGTTTCCTCTGTTTCGCAGAGCTCCTGCAGGTGAGCAGAGCCTGCCCAGGCACCTAGCTTCAGGATAACAGCTGCAGCAAGGGTCATGGCTCCCACCACACACCACAGGGAAAGACAGGTGGGGAAAGAGGGTGAGAGAGTCCATTTAGGGGTTGCACCACCCATGGGAGAGGTCTCCCTATAGGCAACACCAAAGCAATACCAGTCCTAGTTGGCACCAAAACCTCCTAAACCCATGGACACAGCCTCAGCCCCAGCTCTGATTCCTTCCCACCGCTTTGCAGCTCGGGAGGAGGTGGCAGAGCTGGAAGGTGCTGCAGCTAGAGTCCCCTCTGCCAGCCCAGGGGGAGCAAAAGCAATGGTGAGGAGGGGAAACACCCACCCCTGTGCCTCAGGCTGGTGCCAGCAGCACTGATGGCTGCTTCCAGAGCACAACTGCTTCAGCTCAGCTCCTCATCCATATGCAAAGCGCTGCTAATCGCATGGAATCCTCGCTTTTTAGGTTTGCTTATTTTTGCACGTTCTCGGCAGTTGTCAGCACAGAACACACCGCTTGCCACGCTCTGCCCTGTGCCCCCATGCACACCCTCTGACCCCCCCAGCAGGGGGATGCCTTCACGGGGCTCTCTCAGGGAGCAGAGGAGCTCTGTGAGAAGCAGCTGGGAGAAAACACCAATTTGCAGAGTGTTAAAGCACCAGGGATGAGATGTCCAGGCCAGAGGCTGCTTCTTGCTCTGGCTCTATCAAGGTAAGAGCCTGAATCCAGGGAGGGGCGGTACTGGGACATCAGCATCATACACTCAGTCTCACTGAGATCTTCTCAAGCACCAGAACTTTCAGTATTTCGTCCCAACAAGGCCGATTTCATCAGCCTAAACCTCATTATGGTGCAAAATCAAGAGCTGGCGTTGTACTGAATTGCCAATGTTTGATGCTGTTTTCCTCCTCTTCCTTGCACAAAGCAAAAGGGAAACAAAGATGTTTCTGGAGGATTGGCTTTCTTTGCTGGGTGCTATTTGCACTTGGCAGAAGGTGTTTTTCCACTTGTGAAAGAAGGCTGTAAAAGCAGAAGCACCTGACCTGTTGGATGATGCAGCCTGCCTTTATGTCGTGTTAGCTATGGAGCATCACATAACACACCCAGGGCTTTGGTGCCAAGGGAGCCATAGGCAGAAAGAAAAAAAAAATTTAAAAAAATCTCCCACGGGTCTGTAGCAGGCAGCTGAGGTCACAGCAAGTTTGCACCCTATAAAGAAATATCTCAAAAATAAAAATATAATTAAAAAAAAAAACTATACTGGAATGTAACATTTCAGGGCCTTTTGCTGTTTTTCCAGGAGTGACCCAAAGACTCCCCTTTCTATGAGCAACCCCTGACAGCTCTTCAAATACATAGCCACGTGGCTTTTAGGTTCACCTCTTCCCATTGCCCTTCTTAGCACTTCTCAAAGGTGCAGTGAGCAGGGCTCACACAGAAATGCTCCCTGCACTTCCTTTCCCTTGAAGCAAACTCTGGGTAGGGAGGTGGAGGTTTTGCCTTTGACCCTGTTATCTGAAATAACTGCTTGACACTTTGAAATGAAATCCTCTTGCCAGTGCCATCACCTTCCCCATCTGCTGCATTTATGCACACACAGGTTTGTTATTGTAGGGTTGCTCATAAGGGCCTTGGCTTTGTCTCCATTACACAAAAGGGTTTTTTTTCCACCAGAACAGCTTATTAAAGTTCATTCTCTTGTTGTGAGATCATTGTCTAGACAAAGAATTACAGATTTTACCTAGATACACCTAGTCAAGATAAACCCAGGCAGTCACCTCCAGGTAACACTATCTTATCACTGTTCGCAATGTACACCGAGGTAGGCATCTCCAGTTCATTTTCTCCTCGTAAAAATGCCTCTCCTTTTCTGTGGAAGACATAATATGAGATACATATGCTTGATCTGCTTGGATTTGGTTGCTCTTCTAAAGTTGTCATCATCTTCACCTACGTTCTGTTGTTACTTTGCCACTGCAAGCCAGGACAAGACTGCCAAAAATTATTTGCAGCTCTTGCTTTGCATAAAGAAATGCAAACATATTCCGTCAGCACTGGGAATCATTCGGCTCATTTTTGCAAACATTCACAGGAAGGAAATGTTGTGTGCAAGGCCATTTTTGGAAATGAGAATCAGCAGGAGCACTCATGCAGAAGCGGCTCCACGTGTGAAAGGGAGCTGGGGAGAAGCCAGGGGCAGAGCACATGAAGCCTCTGTCCTTGGGGAGCAGGAGGAAGCCCTCACCAAAAGCTGCTCCCAGTGAGCCCGTCCACAAGCAGTAAAGCTCAGGGTGTGCTTACCCCACAGCAATCCCGTCTGCAGAAACTACCGTGGCTTGCCCAGCCTCGAGCAAGCTGTGGTAAC